TCAATGCCCATTTCTCTATGGAACGCTGAGTAATGCTGACGTAGACTACCAGAATTCTGGTACTCTTTGCCACAAATAGGACATTTCGCTAGTACTTTATCGGTAGCGTGAACTGTTCTTTTGTGCAAATAGAGACATTGCTTTTTTAGATGTTTTCCACACAGTTCACACTGGACTGTCGTGGGAGCTTGATGAGATTTTACATGTTTATCAGCAGAAAATTTAGTTTTTAGAATTTTTCCACACTTCTCACACTTAAATACATCATGAGTTCTAACATGCTTTTTAAAAGTATCTTTAGCTTCCACAGAGTATTCACATAAATGACAATGGTACAGTCCATCTTCTTTATGCGTTTTGGAGTGGTAACCAAATTCTATGTGAGTTAAAAACGCCTTAAAACAAATTAAGCAGATCAGCGGTTTGGTTATTTCGTTCAAGTTGACGACTTGGTCCAAATTGTACTCAGGTTCTGGTTTCCGTTCACGCTTTTGCTTCGGCTTTTTTATTTTATTATTTTTCCCTTCTTTTGATGATAGTTTTGTTTTACTTCTCGTTTTTCTAGGACGTTTATTTTCGGGTGACCTAAAACAGAAAATGTTAGTCATGCTTTACAAGTATAATAGGTACAACTCTTTTTTGTTTTAATAAAAACATTTTTTTGGTGGAAACACAAGAAGAATGGTTCACTGTACGCACTTCACTTAAGTATTTGTTAACCTTCAATAAAATGTGTTAAATGTACCAGGTTCTACAGAGCGATCCATTAAGACAAGAGAAATTTATGTGGAGATTCTACACCGGTAAAGACACAATTTTTCTTTTATTAATCTGGTGCTCAAAATTAGAGCACCGATATATTGTCAACTTTTTATTGTCGGAAGGTAAGGGAGCATGGAAGTGTTGTAATTTTCAGCGATAATAAAACCCCCACACGATCAGTTTGCTTAAATAATATATCATTTGAATATGAGGGTGAATTTTGTGCATTAGAAATTATAGATAGTAAAACTATTTTAGTAACAGTGTATAGAACCGAAAATGTAAATTTTAAAGTATTTCTTGCCCTACTTAAGTTATTGGAGTTTTGCTTTGCTAATTTTTTAGAAATAATAATAATTCGAGATTTCAACATTGATTTCAAAAAAGTTTCTAATGAACTAAACAGTTTCCGTGATCTAATTTCTACTTTTGGCTTAACCATAAATAATAATGAATTTACTAGAATCACAACTAGATCAGCAACTTATTTAGATAACGTCTTAACAAACATAAGCAGTGAGATAGTTGGTTGTGGAATTGTGGACCCATGTATTTCTGAAAAAAATTATAGTGTTTTATAATACATACTCTTTATATAATGCATACATTTCACTCCATACTCCAACAGAATAATACTCTTACAATTGAACCAGGACAAACCCAAAATAAACATCCTGCAAGTTTATGCTCCAACTGCAGACAAACCAGAGAGCGATATTGAAACTTTCTACGAAAACCTAGACAACATTTTAATATCCATTAAAACGCAAGAATAAACAATTATAATAGGAGACTTTAACGCAAGGGTTGGGGAAGAAAAAGTAGAAGAATGCACAGGAGGATATGGTCTGGGCAACAGAAACGAAAGGGGTGACAGGCTTATCGAATTTTCTAGGTCTAACTGGTAAGCAGGTTTTGTATGTTTTCAACAAAATTGATAGTGTGTAAAATAATTTATTAATTAAGCTAAGTATACTTTCGACATAATAAATGTCATCATCAGAGCTATCCTAAAATAACGTTAAGTTAAGTAAATTTTTTATATAAAATACAATGATAGAAAAAACTTACGTCAATTAGGCAATAAATACTTCATAGAAGGAAAATTGTGGACAAACGACATATTAAAAAACAAAAATCAGGCTATCTAGGCCACAGATCTTGGGTCTAACCCTTATACATATGTATAATTCACATCAAAAACTTTTTTATAAAACATGGTTACCACATACAGCAACGACAACAGCTGTTTTTGACTTACATTTTTGAAGTAAAAAAAAATCAATACTTTTACTTTAAAAAAATTTTACTTCAAAAATGTAAGTCAAAAACAGCTGTTGTAGTTGCTGTATGTGGTAACCATGTTTTATAAAAAAGTTTTTGATGTGAATTATACATATGTATAAGGGTTAGACCCAAGATCTGTGGGCTAGAGAGCCCTATCTTTTTTTTAATATGTCGTTTGTCCACAATTTTCCTTCTATGAAGTATTTATTGCCTAATTGACGATAGCTCTGATGATGACATTTATTATGTCGAAAGTATACTCGGCTTAATTAATAAAATATATTACACACTATCAATTTTATTGAAAACATACAAAACCTGCTTACCAGTTAGACCATATAAATAAAAAACTGGAAGAAGGAATAGATGATAGTCAGTTTGGGTACAGAAACGGACTAGGAACCAGAGAAGCGTTATTTGCTTTTAATGTGTTAGCTCAAAGATGCATAGCTATGAATGTTGCTGTGCATGTTTGTTACGTTGAATTTGAAAAATCATTTGATAAAGTAAGACATGAAAAATTAGTCCAAATTCTAAAAACAAAAAACATGACCACAGGGACTTACGAATAATAACAAACCTCTACTGGAATCAAAGAGCACAAATCGTAATAGATAACGAACCCAGTCCAGAAACTGAAATCAGGAGAGGAGTTAGGCAGGGATGTATTATGTCCCCATTACTATTTAATGTATATAGTGAAGCCATTTTTGAAGAAGCATTACTATCTCAAAGTGAAGGAATAATAATTAACGGAAGATCTATTAACAACATAAGAAATACAGATGACACCGTGATTATGGCAAGCTCTGCAGAACAACTCGAATTACTGTTAAACAAAACAAACAGTTTCTGTGAAAAATATGGACATAAAATGAATATAAAAAAGACCAAATACATTATAGCAACAAAGAAAACAACTATACCAACAAACATACATTTGGGAAATATACCGATAGAAAGGGTTGATAAATACAAATACCTAGGAACCCGGATTTCAGACAATAATGATCAAACAACCGAAATAAGAGCTAGGATAAAAATAGCAAGAAATGCGTTTGTAAAACTGAAAACAATTCTCTGCAACAAAGATCTTAGATTAGAACTGAGAGTAAGAGCACTGAGATGCTCCGTATTTTCGATACTGCAATATGGACTTGAAAGCTGGACATTGAAGCAAGAACACATAAAGAAGTTACAGTCCTTTGAAATGTGGTCTTACAGGAGGATGCTTAGAATAGCATGGACACAGAAGAAAACTAACACAGAAATATTGCGAGAAATGGACAAAGAATGCGAAATAATAAATACAATAAAAATAAGAAAGTTACAATACCTGGGATACGTAATGAGGGGACAGCGATATGAACTGCTAAGGCTGATAATACAGGGAAAGATAAGAGGAGGAAGGAGTATAGGAAGAAGGAGAGTGCCATGGCTGAAGAAATTAAGGGACTGGTTTAAATGCAGTTCTATAGAACTCTTTAGATCAGCAGTAGATAAAGTAAAGATAGTGATGATGATATCCAACCTCCGATTGGGAGACGGTACTTAAAGAAGAAGATAATACATATAGAAGACATCTAACAAGTAATGCCATCCTGATGTTAAAACAGTCGTTAAATATCGTTGACTGGGCTTCGGTTGTTTCTCTCAAAACAGCAACAGAATTAGCTCAATGTATTACCAAAATGTATGTAAAGTTAACTGAAATTAATTTTCGACTAAAAAAAATTACGCACTCATTATAAAGCTCCAATTTCTTGGTTTGGTGATGAAATAGTAGTAATCCGAGAAAATCTTTCCACAGTCAAGATAATTGAGTATAAAAAGTTTAAGAAGCACTATAAATCAACAATATCATTAAAGAAAAAACTGGCTGATGAGAATTTATTTTCCAATTCTCATCACCAATAGTGGTATATAGTATATTAACCATTCCATTCGAAAATCCAACTATAAGCAATAATGTAGTAGAGGTAGCCTTGCGTCTTGAGTATACCAGAAGTAAGAATATTGTGTATCAGACCAATTTATACAGTAAGCAAACAACTGGGGTAAGTATCAACACAAAAACTTCTGAAATAACAGACTTTTTCACCATTTTGATTTTTATGGGGGTAATACAGCTGCAGGAATATATTATTGGGTCATTTCTTCAAGAATTTCTCTTGATAACTAGCTAGGTATTTGTCCAACACTGGAAAGATCAAAGTAAAGCAAGGCCGTGCATCAAGTACGGAAAATACAGATAACCTAATTCGCCATCCTCTTGCTGTAACACCTGATGATGCTACCAGAACAGATGCGTTAGATTACTGGATACTATATACCGCTAAAGAAAGATGTAGTTTTTGTAAAAATCGCTAAAAAACGGTGCAGTTTGAAAAATGTAACATGAGGCTTTGTTTTACATCGAACAAAAATTGTTTTTTATCACTCCATCGTTAGGCCTGTATTTATAATTTTTTAGTCTTAGGCGCTTTATGTGTACAAGTTATTTTATTACATCAATAAAATGTCTTTTAGTTAACCAGCTCTTTACATATGATTAACTAAATTTTGAGATCTTCATTAGTGAAGTTAGTACAAAATAGTGTTTCTTGACTGGCAATGTTGCTTCTAGGCAACGAATTCAAGAAGCGCTTTTCCCTTGTTCCTTCCGATTTTTTTGTACCACGGGGTGTTATTGGGTGTTATATATGATTAAGTACTCAATAAAATAATTTTACGACATCTATTTTTGGTGTTGCTAGATACCGGGTTAAGTAAATTATCGTCTTTAAAGTCCATAAGTCTAGGATATTATGATCTTCGACTCATCTAATTTTTGTACTATATCCTGTTTTATACTGAAACAATATAAGTTAAAACCAGGCATGAATCTTTATTAAAAAGGAAAATAACAAGGCACTAATATTTAACGAATTTTTAAAGTACCTCACCTGACTTTCTCTTGTATTATGTTACAAGATACTGGTCAATAATACATACTCTCATGTGACTTTCCATATTATGTTTGGCAACAAATTGCCTATGACAATGTGGGCATTCTAGATACTGCTCTTTATGCATTTTTTCGTGATAAAAAAGACCTAAAAATAACGAAATAAAATGATGTATCAAAAAAATCGAGAACTTAAGAGTAGAAATACGGAAAGAGAAGAGTGAGAGAAGATTCTAAGTTAGATCCTAAAGAAGTTATGGTCTGAATTAAAAACGATAATTAATTAAATACTCAGGTGATTCCTTAGTTGTTCAAGATAAACGAAGTAACATTAATTAACATTAAAAATGCAAAACACTGAGAATATGAACATTATGTGGAGCAAAATCAAAGATTCTGTTAGAAAGACAAATAACGAAACTCTGCAAAAGAAAAAAAGTAAGCCGAAAACCTTGGATGATACAAGAGATATGGGAAATCATGGGACAAAGAAGAAATAATAGAAATAAAACCCAGATAAATACAAAGAAAAACATAAATTAATGAAAAAAAAAGGGGCTAAGGAAAAGTGTTTCGGGTAGCGAGTAGGAACTGCTTTGGATAGTCCTATCAGGGAAAATTATTCAATCAATCTCTGCCCTCCACAGATTCCAGAGGTTTTCTGACCCGGGAAATTAGTACCTATTTAGGGTCCCTTGTTCAGGATGACGGATGAAGTCCATAACGGCAGAAGAATACCTTCGGTACGATGTGGATGGTGGAAGTGGCAATCCCTTGATTTTAGGGATTGTATAAAATCACTCACCAACCCGTTTAGCCAGCATGATGTTTTAAGGCTAAAAAACCTTCTAACATGAATATGACAATATCTAAAACAAAAAGAATGGGTCTCCAGATGGGTAGACCATACAGTAATGGCAAATCCCACTCATTTGGAGAACGAACAGCTTCATGGAATCTGGGGAAGCAAGAAATCGTTAAAAACCACGCAACTCTAAATATAAGGTCCTTAAGCAAAGATAAAAAAATCTAGGAACTCGAAGAAGACATCAAGGACTTAAAATGGGACATAATTCGTCTAGCAGAGGTAAAAAGAAAAGGAGAAGAGTGCGTAACACTGAAGTCCGGTCCTATATTACAAAGGGCGAGACGAACAAGTTTGTCAGACCGTGGAGTTGAGGTGCCTACATTGTAAAAAATGTCATGCGCCCTTCCCTCCATGCTATGGCATGCTGGACGAGCCATACAGTCTGTAGTCAATACCCCGAGGTATGAGCGGGAACACAAAGTGTATTAGTACTCATACGCTTATGAAACGCACCTGGCGCATCATAAGGGCCTTCACATTTCACTCTTTTTCAACTTGTCTTGAGTGAAATGTCTTTAATCTTTCCTATCGGCCTCTCTTGGCTAACTCTTGTTTCTTCCGACCCCGAATGGCTATTAGGTTTCCGAGGGCAGACGGGTCACTATATTTCCTTCTGTTACACACTCTAGGAAGGCAACGGGAAACCACCTAGAGCCTAATTTTCCCAAGAAACAATCATGGAAATGGCTGATAAATACAACGGCCCCAAGTACGGGCGCTCCTTAAATGGAGCAGGGGTGCTAAGAATCTCCCGGTCAGCTAGAAACATGAACACATTTTCTAAAGAAAGAAAAATAGGTACATGGAATGTAAGAAGCATGTACGAACCAGGAAAAATTCATAACACCATTAAAGAAATGAAGCGTCTAAATATAAGTATACTTGGAATAAGTGAAATGAGATGGCCGGGGTCTGGAAAAGTAACTGTAGATGACCACATTGTATACTATTCAGGAGAAGACAGCTCAAAACACAAAAATGGTGTAGCAATAATTGTGTCGAAGGAAACAGATGAAGCTGTAAAAAACGTCGTCCTATTCTCAGACAGGATACTGATGATACAAATACAATCAACAACAATCAATGTGAACATATTACAAGTATATGCACCCACACAAGACTATGAACAAGAAGAAATTGAAAAATTCTATCATGATTTAGAAAAAGTATTAGCACCTACAAAGAAACACGATCTCAATATTATCATGGGAGATTTTAATGCAAAGATTGGTGAAGGTGAACAGGAAGATGTCATAGGGAAATATGGTCTGGGAATACGAAATGAAAGAGGAGATATGTTGGCATCTTTTTGCGTAGAAAAACAATTAGTAATAATGAACACAATTTTCAAACTTCCAAAACGTCGTCTTTACACCTGGAAATCACCAGCAGATACACCTGAACGAGTTTTTCGTAACCAAATAGACTTCATATGTATAAATAAGAGATACAGAAATTCAGTATTATCAGTAAAAACATATCCAGGGGCAGATGTACCAACACATCACAATATTTTAGTAGGAAAAATAAGACTGAGATTAAAAAGAGTTGCAAGAACGAATAAGCAAACAGTTACTATTGATAGAGAAACGATGCTAAATGATACTGTAAAACAAGAAATAACTAGTATATTAGAACAAAAGATGAAGTTAACATCAAGCAAAGAAGAAAGTACTGAGGAAAACTGGACGAGAATTAAAGACATCTTAAAGACTGTTCAAGAAACAAAATTGAGTGCGCTAAAAGCAAGAAAAAAACAAGGGTGGATGACAGAAGAAATACTGAGACTTATGGATCAAAGAAGAGAACTCAGAAATAAAGATAAAAACGAATACAAGAGGATCCACGCAATAATCAGGCAGAAGATAAGACACGCGAAAACACAATTTCATAGTAAAGAATGTAATGAAATTGAACAATATGAAAAGAAACACGATACATTTCATCTGCACAAGAAATTGAAAGAGGTCGCTGGAAACAAATGGAAACAAGTATCCCAAAGTTTAGAAGACAGAAACGGACACAGAATATTAGACATCAATGAAAAGTTAAAAGAATGGGAAAACTACATTTCTGAATTATTTGAAGATGAGAGAGTAGAACACTATACACCGATTGCTATATCAGGTCCATCTATAACAGAAAGTGAGGTAAGACGTTCAATACAAACGGCAAAAAATGGAAAAGCACTTGGCCCCGATGAAGTAAGTGCTGAAATACTAAAGTTTTTGGGAGAAAATGGAATTAAAGCTCTGTGTAATCTCTTTAACAGAACTTATGACACTGGAATATTACCAACTGATTGGTTATAGTCGACATTTGTCACAATACCTAAGAAACATCGTCCAAAGACATGCGGTGATTATCGGACAATAAGTCTGATGAGTCACGTTTTGAAGATCTTCCTGCGAGTAATACACAGCAGAATTTATACGCTGTTAGAGGACAGAATTAGCAATACTCAATTTGGGTTTAGGAGTGGCTTGGGTACAAGAGAAGCCTTGTTTAGTATACAGGTGCTAGTACAGAGATGCAGAGATATAAATCAAAATGTGTATATTTGTGCAATCGATTTTGAAAAAGCTTTTGACAAAGTTCGACATAACAAAATGCTAGAAATATTGGAAACAGCTGGATTGGACGATAAAGATCTACGAATAATTACAAATCTATACTGGCATCAAGTGGCAAGAATAAAGGTTGAACAAGAACTGTCGGATGAAATAAATATTAAAAGAGGAGTGAGACAAGGTTGTATATTGTCGCCTTTACTTTTTAACTTATATTCGGAGGAAATATTTAAGGAAGCCTTAATGGAGACAACCGAAGGTATTATTGTGAATGGAGTAACCGTCAACAATATTAGATATGCCGACGATACCTTAGTCCTTGCCAATTGCGGAGAAGACCTTCAAAATCTAATGAACAAAATAAAACAGACTTGTGATCAGTATGGATTAAAACTCAACGTTAAGAAAACTAAATATATGATAGTTAGCAAACAAAATTATATACATGATGACGGTATAAAAGTCGGAGATGCCACACTGGACAGAGTAGAGAAACTCGTGTATCTCGGCAGTAATATCAATGAGAGTTGGGATCCGACCGCAGAAATTAAAAGCCGAATAGAACAAGCCCGAGCTGCCTTTGTAAAAATGAGAAACGTACTTTGCAGTCATGATCTTAGCATTGACCTTAGAGTTCGTATGATATCTTGCTACATCTTTCCTGTCCTGCTGTATGGAGTAGAAGCGTGGACCCTAACTGAGGCTATGCTTAAACGCTTGACAGCCTTTGAGATGTGGGTATACAGACGACTACTGAAAATAAGCTGGGTCGACAGAGTTAGAAATGAGGAGGTCCTTAGACGGCTGAACCAAACAACACAACTGGTCAATATAATAAAGAAACGCAAGCTGGAATACTTCGGTCATATTATGAGACACCCTGAAAAATATGATCTTTTACATCTGATCATTCAGGGAAAGATCCAAGGTAATCGTGGTCCTGGTAGAAGAAGAACATCATGGCTGAAAAATCTAAGGCAATGGTATGGAAAATCAACTACATCGTTATTTAGAGCTGCTGTCAATAAAGTCACGATAGCGAATATGGTAGCCAACATGATATCCAACGATCGATAACGGTCATGGAACTAGAAGAAGAAGAAGAGAAGAACAAAGCCTAGATGGCGTAGGATTTCTAATTTCCAAGAAATATGTACATAAATGAGAGCAACTCGTAGGAATATCTGAAAGAATTGCAATGTTTATGCTAAAAAACGAGAACATCTCCCTCAAAATTATTCAAGTATACGCTCCAACCGCAGCACATCCCGATGAAGAGATAGACGAATTTTATGAGAAAATTGCAGAAACTAGCACGAATTCTCACAGTACGTATACGATGATAATAGGAGACTTCAACGCCAAGATTGGACAACGACTTGAAAAAACCGAAAACTATATAGGACAATTCGGCACTGCAGTTAGAAATGAGAGAGGAGGAACCTTGGTTAACTTCCTACAAGTCCACAAATACTATATAATGAACACATTCTATACGAAAAAACCTCAAATAAAGTGGGCGTGTCTATCCCCAGATGAAAAACTCAGAACGAAATAGATTACATAATGTGTAACAAAACAGATATTATATACGACGTAACAGTATTAAATACGGCGTCAGTAAGTAGCGATCACCGAATGGTTGGAGCCAAATTAGAGATATAACATAATAAAAATTGAAATAAATTTCTATAATAAAAATAGAAATAAAAATAAGGAACGTCGGCGACTACCATGCTTATAATATTGTTATACTGATCTCGGTCTTGCGCTACGTGTAGCAATTGGTCCGCTGTCAAACCTGTCCACTGCCGCAAATTCCTCAACCAAGAGAGTTTCTTCCGTCCTATCCATTTCTTTCCTTCGATTTTACCGTTGAGAATTAGCCGAAGGAACTCATATCTTGGTCCTCTGATTATATGTCCAAGATATTCTATTATAGTTTATTCGTTTTCCGGGTTTGGACCGTGTCATTTGTGAGTGACCCAAAAGTGGGTTCATCTCGACGTTTCGCTACAATTGTATGTAGCTTCTTCAGGAGAACAAAGAAAAAGAAATCAAAAGACAGGAAGATGGGTAGTTAGCAACGGTAACTCAGTTACTCAACGCAACCAGAGGCGAATACTAACTACCAAGATGGGCATTTGGTCACAGTAACTACTCAACTACTTAACGCAGCCAGAGGTGAAAACCAAATGCCAGGACAGGGATTCACGTCCAACAGCTCAGAACACTAACGCGTCGAGAGGCGAATACTAACTACCAAGATGGGCATTTGGTCACAGTAACTCAACTACTTAACGCCTCTTTAGTTTTATCGATATTTATCGACAGTCCCCAATTTGTGCATTCCATGTCAACTCTACTGGATAGCTCCTACAGATCGTCGATGTTTTCAGCTAGAATCACAGTATCGTCGGCGTACCGTATATTGTTAATTATTTCTCCTCCTATGATAATTCCTTTTTTATCTTTTAAAGCTTTCCTAAATAGATTCTCAGAATACACGTTAAAGAGAGTGGGAGATATTTGGTATTAATAATGGCTGTTTGGTTCCAGTAAAGTTTGGCAATTGATGTCTTTCTCATCTAGTTGGATGCTCTGGAAGGCGTTAATTAGTCTGGTATGTTGAACGCAATCAAATGCCTTTTCAAAATCAATGAAGCACATATAAACGGGTTTTCTTACCTCCCAACAACGTTGAAGGAGTGTTTGCATAGAAAATCGTGCTTCTCTAGTTCCAAGGCATCTCCGGAACCCGAACTGCTCTTGACTAATTATTTCTTCGCACTTGTTGTTAATTCGGTTTAGAAGAATATGTAACAGTATTTTAACGGCATGGCTTATTAAACTAATGAGTCTACAATCGCTACATTTCTTAACGTTTGGTTTCTTAGGTAGAGGAATAAAGCTCGATTTTAACCAGTCCGATGGAATTTCACTGGTATCATATATTTGATTGAAAAGTACAGTGAGCTCTTTTATATTGTCATTTGAGAGTAATTTTAGCCATTCGCTGTCCCTGTATTTAGCAATTCGCTACAATTTTACGTCCCTGATTAATTCGGTGTGTAATTTCGGTTTCTCCCAAGCCGTTCTTATCAATGAGTGCACCTTTTTACATATGCTCTGTATATACGCTTTAACATAAATTCTAGATCATAAGAATCTTAAGCTAGGACGATTTGGTTATCCGCAAATTTCAGGGAGAACAGTACATCATTTCCTATAGGGATTCCCACTCCCTGACAATGGTTTTCAAATTTTGGAGGGCTGCCTCAATATGTAAATTAAACAGTAATGGTGACATACTGCATCCTTGTCTCAGTCCTTTAGTTACTTTTATTGTCTCTGATAGTCTATTTCCGATTTTTAGGTAAGTAGTGTTATCCCTGTATACTTCGTGATTAATTTTAAAAGATATGGACTAATGCCAAGTTGTTGTGAAACTTGCCACAATTTAAGTCTTGGAACTGTATCAGACACCTTTTCTAGGTCGATGAGACCTAGATGTACTTCGGTACCAACCGATATTCTTTTTTCTATTAATTGTTGGAGTATAAACAAGTTTTTAGTGCAAGATCTACCAGGTGTAAATCCACTTTGGTCTTCGCTAATTAAATGTCCTACATCATCTTGTATTTTTCCATTTATTATCTTTCCAAAGAAACTCCCGAAAGTAGGTAGGACACTTCATCCTCTGTAGCAGTTGGAATCTTTTCGAATACCCTTTTTAAAGATGGACACTTGGTGAGCGGTTCTCCATTCAGATTGTACTTTTACTTTGTTCTAGCATTTATTCGTTCTATTAGGAATCAACCTCCTGCTTTAAGTAGCTCTTCAGCTATATTGCCAGGTAAGTGGAGATCAGGACCTGGCAATATAGCAGCTGATTATGGAGGATAAAATCGAAGGAAAAGGAGTCCTGCTAGACGATAAATATCCTGGATGAAAAACATTCGCCACTGGACCAGGTTAAACACACAAACACTCTTAAGAAAAGCAGAAGATAGTGACGAATTTGCAATGGCCAACCTTCATTAGTGAAGTCGGCACCAGCGGAAGAAGAAGAAGAAATGATACTCACCTGACCTATGCTTATACTTCTTTCCACAAACGTTGCATTGAAAAGGCGTATCTCCGGTATGTACAGGCATATGGTTGTCCAATAAACTCTTGGTACGAAATTGCTTAGGGCAAGCCGAACACAAAAACAATTTTTGTGGATTATGATATATACGTTTATGATTCAATAATCCGCCATAATTATAAGTGCCGTATCCGCATAACTCACAGATTACACTGACAGTAACACCAAACTCTTCGTGTTCTTCGGCATAGTGCTTCCTTAGATGTACCGTTCTTGTGTAGTATTTGTCGCAGACCGAACATTTCATCTTGTGCTTCTGCGCTGCGTGCTGTGTTACCTTGTGTTGGCGATATTCTTTTCTTCGCACTGGGATATCGCACATGGCACACTTAATGATCTCGTTCTCTCGTTTGTGAACATCTTGGTGGCGAAGAAATCTTTCTTTTTCTTTAAAAACTAGGGGACACTCATGGCACATGTATTGAAGAATTAGAATCTGGCAGCTTAAGTTTTGATTGGTGTCGATGGTTTTTGTTTCTCTAAAATAGAAGCAGATATTTAAAGACTTTTAGAATTACATATTAAAATGAGAAGTTGAAACAGATAGAGATACAATGTAGGGAACGATTTTTGTCATTTGAGTGTGCAAATGTACAAAAAATTTAAATGGGCAACATTGGAAGTTAAAGTACATTCAGTTTTTTTTTAAACGATATAGTATACAAAATATTGTATAAAGATAGTATAAATTAGCAGCTGTCTAACGTCTCCTGAACGAACCTGAGAGATAAATAGATATTATATATATCTGCCATCCATGAAATGAGGTTTGTTGGAAGCAATGTATGAAAAAAACATACGATTTTTTACAGCTACGATCCTAAACATCACATCTTGGGCAGTGGATGCGTGACGAAGAGTTTTATGATGAACTTAGAGTCCGCATGCCCGAGGGCATCAGCCACGCCCAAAAAATAGTCTACAGATGCCTAAACGCAAAAGTTGGAACAGCAATTCCAGCCACAATAGGTAAGCACAGTCTCCATAAGCAATCAAATTATAATGGAAATGGGTTATTAAACCCAGCAAGATCCCTTAAGGCTTTCGGCATAAGCACCGGGCTCAGACAGGGAGACCCGCTGTCTCCATTACTATTTAACCTAGCATTGGAATACGCAATGCGAAAAATCTATACCAGAGTCAAACCAGACATAACTGCCAGAGGAGCAAAGATTATTCTCGCATCTGCAGATGATGTAGATGCAGTAGCACAGACAACACTGGAAGTTAAGGATATAGTATCGAACTTTGAAGAAGCAACACTAAGCGTAGGCCTGAAAATAAACGAAGAAAAAACTAAATACATGGTCGTATCAGAAAAGGAACGACAACGAATAAGACAAAACATTACCATAAACGATCATAATTTTGAGGTGGTCAAAGAATTCAAATACCTAGGAGCAACAATTACCAGTGAAAACACAGGAAAACGGGAGGTTGAAATACGAATACTGGCGGGGAATAAATCATTCTTTGCCATTCAACATCTAATGAGGTCAAAGCTTCTCTCAAGGCGTGCCAAAATCATCGAGCAATAAGACAAAAGAGGGAATCTAATCCTTATGAAAAGGAGACCAAAAAAGTGGCCACTGATGGCGGACATATCCGGAAATGCGAATGCGCGAAATTTAAATTTTCCGACACTTATCAACAGTAGCTATATAATATTTTTCAGAATGTGTCTTAGACGAGAAAGTTTTAAATAATTATTAATGATAAGAGTCTAAAATGCGACACAATTGTTAAAAAACTTGAATATAAATAAGATTTCATGTGGCATTTGGGACAAACAATAACATAACCCAACTAAATTTGATGTCAAACAAGGAGAGAGACTCTCTTTCCTTGTTTAATGTGGCCTCTAAAGATCGCACTTCCTGTCTAACAATATGTTTGCCCCCACTACCTTTACATTTCCTCTATTGTCTTTTTGCTCGATGGCCAAAATCCAAATGTACAAAACTATAATACGACCAGCAGTGACATATGGAAGTGAAACATGGACATTGAGAAAGAAAGAAATCAATAAGCTATTAGTATGGGAACGCAAAATCCTGCGAATTATATATGGTCCTTGCAGGGACAGCGTGACAAATGAATGGAGGAGCAGATACAACAATGAAATAAAGACTCTCTTCGGGAAAGGAAACATCGTAAGATACATAAAAGCCAATAGATTAAGATGAGCTACGTCGTACGGAGTGATGACGACAGACTGATTAGCAATGTGTTTTGGGAAAGACCAGATGGTAAAAGATCGACAGGAAGGCCTAGAAAAAGGTGGAAAGACGCTGTCAGGGAAGACCTGGAGAAGATGGAAGTAAGGCCATGGGAAATAATAGCACAGGATCGGAATCAATGGAAGGCAATAGTAAACGCGGCAAAAACTGACGAAGAGTTGTAAAAGCCATTGATGATGATGATGATGATCCCTTAACACGGTAATTGCCAACATATACGTCGCTCGAAAAGATATAAACAAAGGCACCTGGAAATTACCAGACGAACTTACAGTAGATTAAGGTATTGTAGACTCAAGACACTAATCGAATATAATAAACGTCCGCACCAGTAAAGCAGCACATGAGGATTCTAATTATTATTTGGTTGACAGTAAGGAAAGAGTCAAAATTTCATTATTGTGTATGATCAAACATTAAAAAGGAAAGAGGTTTTAACACGATACAATGTAGAAGGACTTGAAGATACGAAAAAAAAATAGAGAATATAAATAAAATAAAAGGGACTCAAACATGAAAACTTAAATAAGGAGTGGAAAGAGTGCAGAAACATCATAGAAGAAGCAGCTGAAGAATCACTAAGCATGGAGGGTAAACAAAGAAGAACAAAAACCAACAAAAATATCATAAAACAAGGAGCTGAAGAAGTACAAAGCATAAAACATAAATAAAGAAGAACAAGAATGAATGACTGGTTTGACGAAGAATGTCAGATTATAACCGAAAGAAAAACAGCGTATCTGCTGATGTAACAGGGGCACATAACTGACAAGCGGAGGAGGATTTTACACAACTGCATAAAAAAGAAAAGACAATCCACCGAAGAAAGAAGATAGAATATATGATAATCAAAAGCAGGAAAGTATTTCAAAACCCAGAATAACGATGTGTGAAGAATTATTATTCTTTGCTATTTTCGAAGAATGCTAATACTGAAAAGGAACCATTAAAATAATTAGATACTTATCAAAACTTACTGTACGATAAAATCGTTAAAAGCGAAAAAAGGATGTAAAAGGTATTAATGCATGATATAATAATTTACTAACAGTAAGAGTTGCAGACTGGCGATGACCCTCAAAGCGTCCGCAATCGAATCTACAAATTTTAGTAAGCGAAATAACACTTTAAGAAAAAAAAAACATGAGTAAAAATGGAAAATGCATAAGAATAAAGACCCTACACTTTTAAGGCTCTGTAAAAATAAATTTTTTGTAAACATTAGTAAATCGTTCACTTACTGATCCATTATTCATAAAAAGTTGCACTTTTCTATTAAAATAGAAATATTACGTTTGAAGCAAACTGCAAAATAAATTTACTTGAATACTGTCAAGAATTTGACAAATCTGTCAAATTTCTTAAAAAATTGCATTACACCTAGACGCTTCTGGAATTATTTTAAAAAATGACGGAAATTTAATAGAATGACACTTAGTATATTAGAATTAATTATATAAGTAAGTACTTACGGTAATAAAACTAGGTACTTTAGGTACTAATACGGAAATACGGAACTAATAACCAATATATAATATATAAGGAAGCCAAAACAACAATTAAAGTATATGAAGGAACAAAATCATTACAAATAAGTAGAGACGTGAGACAGGGTGATACAATATCACCGAAACTTTTCAATCAGGCTCTTGAAGATACTTTTAAATGATTAGAATGAAAAAAAAAAGGTATAAAAATTTGTAGACAACGCTTGAACCATCTAAGGTACGCTGATGACATCGTATTGATAACCGATAAAAATGAAGAATTATTTGAAATGATGAAAGAACTGGACGTAGAAGCTGGAAAGATAGGCCTTAATATGAATTACAGCAAGACCAAAACTATAACAAATACAGATGAAGACATCACAATGAGAATCGGACAAGATGAAATAAAACAAGTTATATATATATATATATATATATATATATATATATATATATATATATATATCTTGGTCAAACTATAAACCTTAACAAAGAGAACCAAACAACAGAGATCAAGAGACGAGTTAGACTGGCATGGGCGGCATTTGGCAAACTAAGCTACATTCTTAAAAACAAAAGATATCCACAGCATCTTAAGACCAAAGTATATAATCAATGCGTACTCCCTGTTCTTACTTATGTTTCCCAAACGTGGATATCTACAAAAGCAAATATGGACAAAATCATAAAAACCCAAAGAGCAATGGAAAGACAAATGTTGCACATAAGACTAATGGATAAGAAGAGAAACGAGTGGATAAGAGAGAAAACAAACGTGAGGGATGTTAGACAAGAAGTTGCAAAATTGAAATGGAGATTTGCCGTACACAATATAAGACAAAAAGGAGACCGATGGAACAAAATTCTTATAAGTTGGAGACCGTGGGAATATAAACGAAGCAGAGGAAGGCCCCAAATGAGATGGGCAGATGATATCAAGAAGCACGTGGGCTCTAGATGGATGAATGTAGCGACAGACAGAGAAGATGGAAAAGGATTGAGGAGGCCTATGTCCAAAGATGGACTGAAGAAGGTTAATTAGATAGATAGACTTTAGGTACATTGAGTTTGATTTGGAAAAACTCATTTTAAAATTGATTCATCCTTTGTACATATTTCTAATTTAGTTGTGATATTCTGATCTAACGGTAACAATGTCTTGATAGACTGAAAGAAAGTTTTTAAGTTTGGAAGAAAAAATATCGGTCATAGAAGCATCTGAAAAAAAGAATTAGAAGAATTAAATAATTAGAATTCTACAGTGTTCGAGTTTTGGCCGAAAAGTTTCAAGTAGGAAAAACTCAAGTTAATGACATTTTTAAGAAAAATGCCAATTTAAAAAAGTGCTACAGTAAACGTGGAAATGTTCAACAAAAAAATAATTAAAACTGAAGGTGTTGCCATCGATACTATATTGTACAATTGGTTTTGTAAAGTGATAAGTAAGAACATTCCATTATCTGGATCGATAATAAAAGAAAGAGCTTTAGAGGCGGCGAAAGAACAAAAATTTGAATTTTAAAGCTTCCAATGATTGGCTTGACAAGTTTTGGTTAAGACGTAACATTAAATTTAGAGTAATTTCTGGAGAAGGTGCAAATGTTAACCTTGACGACGTTTCAGGGTGGCAAAAAAACTGCCAAATTTATAAGTGGCTATTTACCTGAAGATATTTATAACGCTAACGAGACTGGTCTGTATTATCGAGACTTACCAAGTAAATATTACAAGATAATAACGGAGTGTACAGATAAAATAAACAGATGGGAAGAATACATAAAAGAGCTAGTCTAAGACGACGAAAAAATTGAAATCATTGAACCATTCCATCCAATGGCACTACAGCCCTAATCGGGCTTTGGCCTCCTTCAACAAGCTTCCCCAATTCTTGCATTTGCATTCCTGCATGGGGATTCTATTCTCATGCATGCGGACCACGTGCTCTGCCCACCGTAATCTCTGCAGTTTAGTGTATTGTATTAGAGTTGGTTCGCTATGCTGCTCGTATATTTACTATTATACCTAATTCACAAGTTGTTGTTTTTACTTATTGGGCCCAGTATCCTGAACGTAATATTTTTCTTTCAAAAACACATCTAATGCATTGGCAGATTTCTGTGTCACCACCCATGTTCCACAACCATAACTTACTATAAGTCTTCTATTTATTTCCGGTTCTTCTGCTTTGTTTGCGACCAGATCCATTCCTAGGTATGTAAATCTATTCATATGTTCTATATGATGATATAGATAAAGTGCTGTTGCGCCGGTCTATTTGATCTGGTTTGTATGAGTAGTTTTGTTTTAATTGTATTTATTGCTAGACCTACTGCTTCTGCGCTCTGTTTCAACTCAACGTAGGTTTCTTCCGCTGCATTCACTGTTCTGCTCATTATGTTTATATCATCTGCGTATGCTGCTAATTGGGTAGATTTGTTTGCAAGTATGTTATTTCCGCTCACCGTCAACTGTCTAATTACATATTCAACAACAAGATTAAAGAGCGTTGGAGCCAGTCCGTCGCCTTGTTTCAGTCCTTGCATTATCGTAAACGTATCAGTGATCTGTCATTGAATACTTACCTGTGCTTCTATTTCTGTCATTGTCATTTGCACTAGTCGTATTAATTTTGATGGTATGCCAAATGCTTCCAATATATAAGGTACAATGGTTCTGTCTATTGAATCATAGGCTTGTTTAAAATCTACAAATAGATTGTAAACGTCAATATCATATTCCCATGCTTTGGCTACCATTTGTTTAACTGTAAATGGTTGGTCAATGGTAGATCTATTTTGGCTAAACCCTGCTTGCTATTCCCCGATGATTTTTTCCGTGAGAGGTTGAAGTCTTCGATTAATGATGTTTGTGAGTATTTTGTATCCCGAACAAAGTAAAGAGATGCCTCACTAATTCTGGCACAACAGTTTGTCTCTTTTTTTGTGAATAGAATAGAAATATATGTAAGATTATTTCATCGGAAAATAGTAAGATATTTTTAAGTAAATTTTAATTAGTAACGAAATAGCCCGCAAGAGGCGCTAAAGGGTATGTATGTAAGCGGTGTCCATTTGAATTTCCCGCCAAAAGATGATTAGTAATGACCCCAGCCGCAAGGGGTCCTAATGAACGAATTTAATATATTGAGTTGTTTTACGAAGAATGTTTTATGAAGAATCTGTATGCTGTAGTGAGAGATATTTTAAATAAAAAATGTAGCTAAAATAATTTTAAACAAAGATGTTCATTAACACTTTTTGTGTAGAATGAACTATGTTTTTGGAAACAACGCTTGAAGCAACCGTCGATTTGAATATCAGTTACACGCGCGAAATCAATAATAAATAAAATTTGTATTAACTCAACAAAAAAAATCGATATCTTTTGATTCAAGTGTCCTAGCGACAAAAATCAAGATGACAGAAGGTAAAGAGTTCAGATTTTGTATGCAATTTTTGTAATTTGTCTCAAATACACACATATTTTATAAAAGTGTTAAATAAATAAACATGAATTATGATTTTCATGAGATCAATACAATCTGTAGCTGTACTCTCCATTATGAAGTTTCGATAACGAGAGCCTAATCTTCTTAACCTATAGCATAAAATATAGAAATATGCTTAAAAAACGCTCGATTTAAACTTTCACATAACAAAGGATCTAACACGTTTAAGGCTGTTTTAGCAGTTCAAGCACACTGCGATTTAAAATCGGCGTATCACTTACATTTCTACACTGCTTACGCGAGACTATCTTTACTCAGTGGCGTCGGCCAACGGGCACCAAATGCATTACTCTCCATTCAAATTAGTTTTAACACGAACTAACTGACCGTACGCTCATGAGATTTGAAGTTACGAAGGCGATAACGGTGAACCTAATCGACAATGATGAGTAACACATTTCGCTATTAGATTTTAGTATTTTTTAGCAATTTTCTTCAAAGTTTGAACACGCTTTTCTCGATTATTACTGGACACAGAAAGGTGAAAAAAAAAAAATCAACAATTACAGAAAAAAACTCTTTCAAGCGATGGGCGTAAAAAGTTTGATTATAATAGAACATTAAACAGTATAATCCAATTTTTCAACAGAAGTTTCAAAAAAATAAAAAAAGTAAAACCATCATTTTAAAAGCAACATAGTTTCGAATATTGTGTCCAAATTTCGAGACATTTTGTAGGTAAATAACAGTTCCTAGATTTTGGTGTACCAATAAAACAGCCTTAAAACTTTATTTGTTTTTATTACGCTAGCACGTTTTTCTAAAGAACCAACCTGCTATAAACTACACTCAAAATCGTCTTCTTGGAGGCATTTTTCGCAACGTGCGATCGTTTGTAATGCAAAACATTAAATTCTGCGTTTTTGTTCCTTATTTCACATGCCTCAAATTTATTGCAAATCAAAAAATTGAAATATCATGTCATAGGTTTTAAAGATTGATTTCTAAAAGTGGAAATTTTTTTGGAAAACTGAGTTTATTCGCGGCAAAATACAAAAACTGTATACGAAAGCTCTACTCTTTATCTTTAAATTACATGTTGATTTTTGTCGTTAATATACTTGGATCAAAAGTTATGGAATTTTTACCGTCGAGCTCATACAAATTTTATTGAACATTGATTTCGCGCGCGTAACTGACGTTCAAAATCGACGGTTACTTCAAGCGTTGCTTCAAACGTCTAATGACGTTTCATTCTACACAAAAAGTTATAATAAACAGTTTTGTTTAAAATTATCTCAGCTACATTTTTTATTGAAAACATTTTTTTCTACG